CCAGCCCCTGAGTGCCCCCCCCGGGGAGAAGATCACCCCCACCAGGCACCTCCTCATCCTTCTCCATCGCTTGGGAACGTGCCCGAGGGATGGGTCAGCCCCCCCAAAAAAGAGCTTCGACTGGGCTGAGCATCCTCCGGGGTGCTGTGGGTGAGCCAGACCCCTGGATTTGGGGTCCTAGGGGGCATGTCACGGCCAGGAGGCTGCGGATGGGTGAGGTTCCCCCCCCCCGCCTTAAATAGTGTGCTGGGGTGCCCCATGCACCCCGTCCCGCCTGTCCCCCCCCCAGCTCTACGAGAACTGGCACCCCGGGCAGCCCGACAGCTATTTCCTCTCCGGGGAGAACTGCGTGGTCATCGTGTGGCACGACGGGGGCCAGTGGAGCGACGTCCCCTGCAACTACCACCTCTCCTACACCTGCAAAATGGGGCTGGGTAAGCCGTGTGTGTCCCCCCCAGCCCTGAACCCCTATTCTGGGCAAGGGGTGGCTGGGGCTGCACCCCTCCACCACCCCAAATGGGGAGTCCCCACCATCCCTACAGTGAGGAAACACGTCCTGTGCATGGGACCCTGGTTTAGGGTTTATCAGGGGGGTGGTTTGCTACGGTTTGGGGGTGTGATGACCCCTTGTGTTGTGTGTGTCCCCCCCCCAGCTCTGCACCCGTGTTCTGGGCAAGGTGGGGCTCAGGCTGCACCCCTCCACCACCCCAAATGGGGGGTCCCCACTATCACCGCAGTGAGGAAACAGGTCCTGTGCATGGGACCCTCATTTAGGGTCTATCAGGGAGGTGGTTTGCTACGGTTTGGGGGTGTGATGACCTCTTGTGTTGTGTGTGTCCCCCCCCCAGCTCTGCACCCGTGTTCTGGGCAAGGTGGGGCTCAGGCTGCACCCCTCCACCACCCCAAATGGGGGGTCCCCACTATCACCGCAGTGAGGAAACAGGTCCTGTGCATGGGACCCTCATTTAGGGTCTATCAGGGAGGTGGTTTGCTACGGTTTGGGGGTGTGATGACCTCTTGTGTTGTGTGTGTCCCCCCCCCAGCTCTGCACCCGTGTTCTGGGCAAGGTGGGGCTCAGGCTGCACCCCTCCACCACCCCAAATGGGGGATCCCCACCATGCCCACAGTGAAAGAACAGGTCCTGTGCATGGGACCCTCATTTAGGGTTTAGCAGGGGGGTGGTTTGATATGGTTTGGGGGTGTGATGACCCTTTGTGTTGTGTGTGTCCCCCCCCCAGCTCTGCACCCCTATTCTGGGCAAGGGGGGGCTGGGGCTGCACCCCTCCACCAACCCAAATGGGGGGTCCCTACCATCCCCACAGTGAAAAAACAGGTCCTGTGCATGGGACCCCTTGTTTAGGGTTTATCAGGGGGGTGGTTTGCTACAGTTTGGGGGTGTGATGACCCCTTGTGTTGTGTGTCTCCCCCCCCCCA